AAATTCCAGTAGAGATAACTTTCAACCAGTAATACAAAGCTAAAAATATTATTTATATTTTAAATTGCGTCGCCAAATATTCAACCCGAACCCGACCCGACCCGACAACATCTTAACCCGAACCCGATCCGACCCGACCCTAGGGTCGGGTCGGGTTCGGATCGGGTTGCAGGTCTCTAACTAACAGCTTAAAGGGTACTTTTTTTATATCTCTTGACATATGAGGCCAATGATAAGATTGTTTGATTATCATAGATGATTTCTAATAACCAGCATGCTCCGCTACAGGTGTATCATGTGAATCATGTAATATTTCTAATTATAAATCAGAATTGCTCGGTACACATAACTGATAGTTTTTTGTTCCTGCCAACGAAATAAAGCTATAAAGCTAATAAAGCAACAACCATTTGGTCAACTACAGTCGTTAGCCGTACTAAAAGGAAGATAAAACAGGTAACGATGGACCTTATTGTTGGTATACCCACGACAGCAGCTGGTTATCGTGCAATTATTGTTTTTATCGATCGGCTTACAAAACGAGCTAATTTTGAATCAGCTGAATTTCAGGACACTGCAGTTGATACAGCGACAATTTACTTTGAAACAATATTTTGTCATCATTGTTTACCCAGAATCATTATAAGTGATCGTGATACTAAATTCACAACTTTATTCTGACAAACTCTGTTTACTTATATAGGAACAAAAACTTCATTATCAACGGCACTTCACCTACAAACAGATGGACAAGGTGAAACATTAAATAGAACTGTAGAAGAAATGCTACGACATTATTCAGCACAACAACCAGAGAAATGGGATGAGACATTAACACACCAATAAAATTTGCTTATAATAATTCGATACTAACACCAACAAATTTTAGTCCATTTTGTTTAGATACAGGCCGTCATCCACGAAGTACTGAACAGTTAACATATTCCATAACACCACAACAACAACTGACCGTTTAAATGATCAAACATTAAATCAAAACAATTTCGGATTGGTGATTACGTTTTGTTAAATACAAAACAGTTAACGTTCTAATTTAATGAACAAAAGATACCGGAACCTAAGACCAAACTATTTCGATCTGCTTGAAATTGTAAATAAGTTATCACCGCTGGCATATGAATTAGACTTACCACAACATCGCAAAATACATTCAGTAATAAATATATCATCATTACGACCGTTTGTTTAAACAGCAGACAAACTTCAACAACGAGTAATCAGTCCACCAATAACAATCACATAAGAAGATGGGACATCTCGTGTCTCACGGGGGATATAATTGTAACAATTGGAAAGAGGCAAACCCAAAACATTCGTAAATATTCATAGCGCCATACTACTGGTTGTTACACAAATAAAATAGTCTAGTTTTGGGGAACGAAGGGAAGAAGTCCTCAAAAAAATAACGATCCAACCTTTCTTAATTTAGCTTCTTTTCTTATCGAATTCTCTTTACTCAAGATAAAGATAAACAATAAAATATCGTTACAATCTGACTAAGTCATTCCACAGAATTCTGTACCTGTCAGCACATTTTTCATAGCTTCCACCTTCAAAGCAAAAGTAAGATTCGTAACTTATGCAAAAGAGATGCATTGTATGACACGTTTGACAAGTATATCTCGCATAAAAAGCTCGTTCCCCGGTTTCGGTACTCAACCATTTTTGAACCAATTTATTCCTGATTAAACGTACTACCCGCATCTTTCTTTTATTCACAGAGCAAAGTAAATAACATTGATTGAGAGTAATTCACAGTTAAAATTCGTGCGACTCCAAACTCGAAGCGAACATTAGAAAACAAACAGTTGAGCACAAACTACTGCTACTTGGTAAGACACGCAGAAAACCTATTATACACAAATTACTTCAGGAAAAAAGCGAAGCTTCGCAGTAAAAGTTAGAGGTCTCAAACTGCGTTTGATTGTGCAACTCAAAAACAAAAAAAACCTCACATATAAACAACTAAGCAAGTGTTCAACCGTCACATGTATTCACAACCATTTGCCAAGAACAAATATCCTTTATACGAACTTCTTCACTTCGGAGAGCTTCTTCTCAACACTGACACGCTCAGGATGACCTGATGGGAGCAGCGTTTTACGAATCTTCAAGCATCTTTCAAAACACTCTACCGCACGATCATACTCGCCTTTGCTGGTATAAACACTGCCAATATTTTTGAGACTAATGGCAATATCTGGATGATCAGATGGCAAACATTTTTCTTCAATCTTGAGACATTCTGAATAATAGTCCAAAGCACGATCATACTCGCCTTTGCTGGTATAAACACTGCCAATATTACCTAGACTACGAGCAATATCTGGATGATCAGATGGCAAACATTTTTCTTGAATCTTGAGACATTTTGAATAATAGTTCAGAGCACGATCATACTCGCCTTTGCTGTTATAAATATTGCCGATACCAAAGAGACTACTAGCAATATCTGGATGATCAGATGGCAAACATTTTTCTTGAATCTTGAGACATTCTGAATAATAGTCCAAAGCACGATCATACTCGCCTTTGCTGGTATAAACACTGCCAATATTACCTAGACTACGAGCAATATCTGGATGATCAGATGGCAAACGTTTTTCTTGAATCTTGAGACATTTTGAATAATAGTCCAAAGCACGACCATACTCGCCTTTGTTGCCATAAACCAGACCAATATTATTGAGTACTCTAGCTGATGCTTTCTCAGGCACTGGCTTGCTCATCATCATTGTTGCATAGCTATGCTCATACAACTGCAGTGCTTGGGCGTACTCGCCTCTAAAGTGGTGAATACGACCAAGGTTAAACTCAATGTCACTTATATTTTCTCCCTGAGGATTTTGAAATAGATTCTCAAAGTACTTCATTGATTTGTCATACTGTCCCATATCACAAAGAAGTGAACCAAACATGATCGCAACGCTTCTTTCCTCGAGCTCTTTTCTATTCAACTTGATAT